CCCCCCCCTCCTGCCCGAAAAAGTCTTTTTTTTTTTTTTTTTTTTTTTTTTTTTTTTTTTTTGTAGAGGTTTTTCGCTATAGGGTGCATGTGCTCGCCAGACAGACAGAGAGAGACATAGAGACAGAAAGCGAGAAATCACCCCCCAAGGGGGATGGTCACACCATAATCCTTTCTCCTCCATTCTCCTCTTGGGATCTTGGGCATGCATGCACACGCGCCCGGCGTGAGTTTAGGCCACCGGGTCTGGGACGCGAACCGCGGTCGACTACGTGGGAGTCCAGTGACATAGCCATTACACTAACTGCTGGTTCCCTGGCCCAGAAATGCTTTTTGAAAATTAATTAGAACTGGTGACTTCCCTTTCTGTGGGCGATATCTCCACTGAAACCAGTTACTAAAACCAGACCATAAAACAGGTAGGACTGTACAGCCACTTACCTACGGCAATGGAGGGTGCTTGAACGATGGTCTCAGCCTTGTGTCCATCCCACTTGGCAGTATGACTCCCTTCCCGAGTTCCCAGTCTTCATTGCGATGAGGTAGCGTTGGAAAAACAGTGAACATGATTAAAGGTCTGAGAAACAGATACCATGATGAAAGCCTAAAGGCATCAGGATTATTTCATTCCCAGAAAAAGGAAAACCTGGCAGGTTAAATAATGGGGTTGTAGGGACAGCGAGCAGCTGTTCGACATTCCCAGGGAGAGGAGGTAGGGAGGAAGGACTGGAGTCCAGCTCAGTTCCCGCTCCAACACCCACACCCCTGTGTCTTACTGACATGGGCAGCAGGGGACCCCCGCCCCCCACTTCTTGGTGCTAACCCTCTTCTCTTTCCACATTACTCTTCCTATTCAAACTTCATGTTGAAAAGAGTATCTCTGGCTACAAGGGAAAACTCTTTCTTGCCACTCCTCTCATTTTCTATAGCAATTACTATATTTTAATCTATTGTCTCTGAAACATTTTGAAAAGCATTTTGGACAAGAAGCCTCAGAAGGGTCTCGGTTTTCTTTAATGTCTTAAGTTAGAAACAAAATGTATTAGTGTGGACAAAGCACACACACATTTTCGGTAGTACTGGGATACACAGCTAGGAAGACTAGATAGATGTCTAAGGGGACAGATACCAGGTTGTATTTCCTGTTGGCTCCAATCTAAATCTGTCTTCCTGTCTTTTCAAGCTCTCCATCTATAGCCATCCTGATTGGAGACAGGTGAGTAAAGATGGATAGGATTGGGTTTTAGCACCCCTTTCAGACTTAGAATAACATACCCTTGAAATAGCAAAGGGTCATCGGTTTGAATTGAGCCACATATGCTAAAGAATACTGCATACACTCTCTCTCTGTCCTGGGGTTCCTCTCTCCTTACCAATACTACTAGGTATTACGTGGTACCAAGGAGAGTACAGAAAAGCTTGAGGTGAAGAAGGATAAAACATTTCTGACATCAGTACTGGTAGTGACTGGGAGTCTCAATCAGGAAGCAAACCAAATGATTAATGTTCCCTCACTGAATGCCCACCCCAAACTATCCTTAAGAACCAGTAAGATCCAGGACTTTATTTTCATAGTGTACAAGAGTGCTTACTAAGCTGTGTTACTAAATTCTAGGGCTTGAAATACCATCTTAACTTTTTCTTTCACATCTTTGTCAAGTCACACAGACAGCCATAGGATATCTTCATATTACTGCTTGGTTTGACCATTATAAATGGTGATGTCATTTCTCAGGAGAACATGTTCATTTTTTCAACAAATTTAGTAAGACAATGGTGAGCGAGAACAAACTCAACATATTTTCCATATGTTCCTGTTTTTTATTTCTTATTGGCTCAATGAAAAGTGACAAATATTATAAAGAGTAACCCATTTTTGATCAAAATAGTTGAAAAAATTCCCAGTTCTAACATTAGTAACAGATTTAGGCATATACTTAGGTGTCCAGATAAATTTTTGCTCCTATTACCTGACCAAACACATGTGGCACAAATATATCTAATGGAAGCCTATTACCATAAAGGATTTTCTAAACAGAAAATTCTTAAATAGGCTTCTTATAAAGGAAGAAAAAACTATAATAAACAGTGCTACCTTGCTACTGAGCACTGATTGTTAAGTAACACTATGAAATGTAGACTATCAGGAGTTTTCTGGCTCTTACAAGTTACTTTAAATAATATTATAAACCTGATACTCAATCCTGTGAAGAATAACTGTTAAATTGACATTATAAATTGTAAAACCTGTTGCAACAATTTATACGAAGCTCAGTAGTTTGTATTTAAGAACTTAAATGTATTTTAACATTGACAAATAAATAACAAATAAAACTAACAGATAAAACGTATCTGCTTTAATCTAGGAAATTTAAAAATGAAACCCTGAGCAGACTCACTGCTCTTCCAAAGGACAAGTTAGAGGTATCCTTTGCTCTCAAAAGTCTAAGAAGGATTTACGCTTTGAATTTAGTAGTGTGTTCTTACATGTGTGTATGTGTGTGTTTTAAATGTAGATGATAGGTTTATTCATTTCCACATGAGTCAAATGAATTTTTGGAAATATATAAGATCTATCTTTACACTGAAAACTTAAAGCCCAAAGGGGGAGAAAAAAAGCAATTAAGTGAAGATTATATAAGGCTTTATTTACAACTGTCACTGCACTGTTGAAATATTCTAACAAAACACAAACTTCCTTTGTGTGCTTTGAATTTATCCATTGAACTGGAAAAGAGCAAAAGTTATAACAACAAAAGCACCTACCGTCACTCAAGTGAAAATAGGTGCTGAAAAAAAATAATCCAAGCAATTTTTGAGGGCTCAGTGCTAACAAACTATTTTATTTCCTGTGACCTACTTTGTAGCATTTTTCCCTAGGACCAATAGATTTAGGCTGCCATCATATTTTATCTTTGGGTCGACATTTATAAGCCCAGATTGTGAGGGGAATATGTATGTCAGAGTCCAACTAGAAAGAATTTGTATTATGTGTCCAAGTTTCTAATTGTATAAATATTCATGTTTCTATTCAGTTCCTAAACTGCACATAATAATTAAAGTAGCATGTTCTACTTCAAGAAACCCCTTATTTCATATTGGACGTTGCCCATGGAACATGGAATAGAAGTGCATTTCCGTGCTCTGTTACACATGCTTTCTATTTAGTGTCTAAAAATGATACAGCCATGTGATAGGCAACCAATAAAAGCAGGTTGACAGGATAAAACCTTGAAAGCCTAATATCTTTTTAATAGATGTGTGTACTAAAATAGATTAAATCTAGCCAGGTCAGGGTTCCCTCCACACAGTAGCCTAGGAAAGTTTCTCCTGAGCTTGTGATAATCAGTGACCCCTTATCCATGTGATAGAGTATTCAATGTACACGAAATGCACTTGCCTGGAAATGTGCTTCCCTCCTGTGAGCTTTCGTAAATGAATCAAACAAATGGCTACCAACCCTGTAATAGCCCATTGTTCCTCCATATTGTCATTTTGTCCGCGCTCGACCCACTTCTCTGTTCCAATAACATAGTCAAATAATGTAAGTGGGAGACATAAAGCCACCTAGTATTTCTGAATAAAATGGAACTAAAACTGCAGAATGAAGGAGCTGAAATGGAAGAAATTGGACTACTTTTTCATAATAGCTCCCACATTATTGCACTTCTATCAAATATCAAAAAAAAAAAGAAAGAAAGAAAAGAAAAAATATTCAAATATTCTGGACATGTCATACATTGTCATTAATCCTCCTTGTCACTGACAACCTTGTGATACACATAGCAGAGACAGTATCAAAAAACAAATCTGACTTCAAAGCCCACATTATTTTTCCATCATGTCAAATATCCTTTCTTTGAAGTTTACATTGAAGCTCCAAAAAGGTAGAATTTTCCAATGTTCCAAATGAATTAAGTGAACGAGAAAGCAAGTTTTGTCCAATCAGCAGAGGCAAAAACAGAAGACAATTTCTTTGCGTATTTGTAAGTATAACTCTTAAAGTTGTTGGCAGTACTCAACATAAACATAATATAATGACCTCACAAAATAGGAGCCCTCCACATAGATCATAGAAGCTGTTGTGGTTTAGATATTGTTTCTCCCCCCTCCCCCCGAGGTCCATATGCTGGGTGCTTGGTCCTCAGTGTAATGGTGTTTGGACCGCCGAGCACTGCTCCCATGAATAGACTAGCTGTCTTGTGGAAGGGAGGGAGTTCTGGCTGGTGTGAGTATGGCTTAGATCCTCATAGAGCAGGTTGCTATAAAAGTAAGATGGCTGCCCACAGATCACACCCGCTTTCTTCCTGCTTCTGTTGGCTATGTTGTGATGTAGGACCAGAGTCTGGCCAAAGGCCGTCTCCATGTTCTTGTGCTTCTCAGATGCCAGAATCATGAGCCAAACACAAGTCACCCAGCCTCGAGTATTGTGTGGTTTTGTTTTTCCAGAGTACAAGGCCTTCTCTCTGTGCTTTAGATGGGTCATCTGTCGCTCAAATGACCTAGCTTAATAGTCAAATAAATGATTCTTACATTTCAGAAAGTGCTTCTCATCTACAAAGGAAGACTTTTCTTGTTTCCTAATGAGCAGAACCCAGTTACTATTATTTCCTGAACGCTAGAGCACTATGGTCATTTTTGCTAAAATAATTATTCACAAAGAAATTAATGCAAAAGACAACTCTTCAGTTTGATTTATAAGACAATCTACAGAAATGAGTATACTTTAATAGCATGCTAATTAAATAGAATTGTGAAGACAGCAAATTGGCCTGATTTGATTATTGAGACACATTAATGAAATTCCCCAGGAAGTAAGCCTTGATGATAGTAACACATAGAGTAATCCCTTAAATTAGATTATTCTTGGTTTATTCCATTGTGCCTTTTCCATTCATTCAGCATTCAATAACAACATTAATATGTTCTGAGAGCTTACTACACAAATACATACATTGTATCAGATAAAAATGGGACCAGCAGTTAGCATAATGGCTATGTCACTGGATTCCCATGTAGTTGACTGCGGTTCACGTCTCGGGCCTAGTGGTTTAAAACTCACACTGGGTGCATGTGCATGTGTGCCCAAGATCCTGAGAGGAGAATGGAGGAGAAGGGATTGTGGCGTAGCCATTCCCCCTGAGGAGTGATTTCTCACTTTCTGTCTCTCTCTGTCTGGCTGGTGAGTGCACACGCCCTATAGCAAAAACCTCTCCAAAAAAAGAAAAAAGATAAAAACATATTAAGAGATATTTGGAGCTACAATACTCACACTAGACAAAACTTTGCTGCCAGTGTTTTATAAGTGACAATAAAAAACAACAGTTTGGCCATGAATTTGGCATCATGGTTACAAAATATCTTTATAAGAATAAACCAAACATCAAGAAATGACCTCTATTTAAAACTCCATGATATAATATGACTACAAGAATATTTTCCTTGGACAGTAACTATTACATAAATATTTTCAAACATTTATGGTAAGTATATGTTTATTATTCATGTTGTTTGAAAGAGGTCCCA